AAAATGGAAATGGTATATGCTAGCTATATAACCCCTATAACCCCAATATAACACCTATAACCCCAATATAACCCCTGCAACCCCAATATAACCCCTATGACCCCTATATAACACCTAAAATGTGTCAGGAGCCAGTTAGCCCTTGTGGCTTTGTCAGATGCCTACCTTGACATTGGCTGCAAGATGCTTGCGAGTAGTATTTTGTTTGGAGGTATTATGGTACCCAATATAGGTGTTATATTGGTGCTATATTGGGGGTTATATAGGGGTGCTATAGTACGTGGGTTATATTGGAGTCATTTTGGGATAATGGAAAAGAAAATGGAAACTACAGGGGTTATAGTGGTTAGGGTTTAAGGGGTTAGGGTTTAGGGTTTATATCCTCCTTTTGGGGTATAGCATCTTGTATAAGGAATGTAATCTTACTGGGGGTCAGAATCACATCCCCATGAACTTCTCCTGAACAACATGAAATGGTTTTCTCCCCAGCTGAGGCTTTACAAGAGTGGGCTGCAGAGAGAATGAAGAGATTCAAGCAGAGCACTGTGCAGGATCAGGGCACTGGTTCTAGCATTCGTTCGTGAATTCCTTTCGTGACCCAAGATGTTCTACAAGTAGCTGAGGGGGATGAGCTGCATGAGTCTGAGTACCTGTTGGCCATGCGAGGAGCAAAGGTACATGGAGATTCCCAGGGAGTGGGAGGAAAAAGCAAACCGCGAAACTGTCAATGCTGGCGTCCCAGACGGCGTGTCGGTCTGATCCCGCGACTACACTGTACAGGAGGGCTGAAGCGTTTCAAGTTGTGGTTGCTTTCAACTACTTCCCGGTAGTAGGGTGTGGATAATCAGGAGACATGTGGTACATAGGGTTTGGGGGTTTCGGGTACCAATAACTGAGAATCAAAGGAACGAGAAACGGGAAAGTGAATGCAAACTGCTCAGACGCAGCGGGTTGCTCTTCGGACCGCCTGCGTGAAACAGCCTGGAACGTCGGGAGCTCATTGTGATACAGAATTGTCAAGCCGGAGGTGATCTTGCCTGCGTTCGCATGCCTGGAGAGCCGCAATGCAGCCTGCTGCAGGGAAGATGCCCTGTCCTTTGCGCTGGCCATCAATTCTGGCCCAGACTATGCGCTCGCCGTCAGCCCCTCAGAGCCTTGGTCCTGGAAAACTTGCAGCGCTTGGAAACTGGAAATGGGTAGGTGCCCATGATGAGATGGGAGCACGAGAATGTCTACGAGGACGATGTTCAGGCACCTGCAAGCACGTGTTTGCCTTCGCAGCCCTCACATAAGCAATTTGAAGGTTATTGTCCATGCTGAGTTTTGTATCACCTGCATGGCAGCATGCATGATTCACGAGGCATGGCAGAACGGGAAGACGTGCTGCATGCACGGCGAGGATCTCAAGCCAGGACTAGCAACAGGGCTCCAGACTGTGGCTATACACACGGTGTACTGTTCTGGGATATAATAATTCTTTGACGCAGACAGCCTTGCTGACCTGATGAGAGGGTCTGTAAAGCTCTGACATGGGTTTTGTACTCCAAATGGTGTGCCACTTGCAGAGTCGGCTGATGGTTTGAGTCTGGCAGTAAGGAGCAAAAGCCCCCAGATGCAATGCGTTACTGTACCCGATTGCTGGGAAGGTAATCGTAGGTGCTTCACCAGCTAAGGTGTCTTTATTGATGGCGTCGAGCTGTTCGACTGCTCCGCCTTTAGAATTTCCAGAGCAGAAGCCTCTGGCGCGGCACCTACGGCTTCCTTGCAATTAGATGACGTGTCAGCAAGCAGCTAGTTCAACCACTGTTTTCAGCAGCTTCCAAGTATGGCTCTTCCACACAAAGTCATTCCCTGGTCCAAATTTGCAACTTTTCAGACACAAGGCATGGATCCCGGCCATCGCCTCACCCTGGAAACAGGATACGAGGCCACCGGATGAGTTGCAATCAGACTCGATTCGGATAGCGACCGTGCTTGAGGTATCCTGTGTGCTGAGGCCCTTGTGAAGGACGGTTACAAAGCGAACACCCTCATGAACAGTCGTGGGGGCGTGTGCGCCTTGCATACCTTAGAAGCCATTGTGGAGTAGCTTTGCCCGGTGTTCCTGCTACCGATGTGCAGGTACGTTGCAAACCCTCCACCAAGCGAGTGGGGAATGACACCCAAAGACATCGCCGGCGGCGGCGTCTGCGGTCTCGGCCACGGGAAGCCAAAGACTGGCGGCGGGCACTAAGACCATCGTGAGAACTGCAGGTGGTGGTGGCAGCATTGCTTGCGGTCGCTTTTCCTTCGTGCACGGCCTGAAGGCCCATACACCTGATCCCACTCGGCGGAATTGCTAGGCGTAGCTTCGCGTAGGCAATGCGTAGGCATAAGCATGATTGCAGCATAAAGGTTGAGTCTTGGAGCAACCTTTCGCAAAATCCTGGCCCCTCCTAAAATTCCTAAAGCTCGGCCACTGAAGGGCCCATGCATCAGCGTGGACGTGGAGGGAGCTTCTTCGCTGGTTGCTGTAAATTACGCCTCGCGGAGCTGGCTGGTCTTATGTGTTTCTTTATGAAGATGGGAGTATTCATGGGCATTGTGTAGTAGGGATCATTTGGAGAAATTCCCGCTGATGCCTGATATCACAGCTACATCCAAACAGCATGAGGAATCAGATGGAGCAATTGCTTCCAGACTTAGTTGTACATGTTCGGTCTTTCTTTCTGATCTAGGGTTTAGGGTTTTCAGGCTGCAAACCTTATTCCTTGAATTAAGGGATAAACCCTTATCAGGATGTGCCGAAATACTCATGTCAACTGATGTGTGCTGGTATGGAGGATGCTACCATCAAGGGTTACACGAAGGCATGCAGTTTAGTGTATGCCCTAGTTAAAACACCAAAGAATGCCTAAAGTCCCTTCCTACGTTAAGGATCATACATGGTAGTTTCCCTAAATAAGGGGGACGCCAATGTAGACCCCAATGTACTCTAATCCTGATTATGGGGACCCCCAGAACGTACCCCTAATTAAATTCAGATATCTTCATGTGAGCTTTAGCCTAAACGCACAGCATCCCCCTCAAGAACCCCTATATAATCTATATAATATGTAACGCCTTTAAGAAGTTGAGACTATAGCTCATGTAATGATTGAAGCCTACACCCTAAATAAACCCTAAACCCTAAACTCTCAACCCTAAACCCTAAACCCTTGTATTCTGCCAGGACCAACCTTTCCTGGACCGGCGGTTGGGAGCCCATCCCATTCGCGCTGTGCAATTCCTGGAACCTTCAGCTCAGCCCAATGCCACATGCCCAGAGCTGCGTGTACACGTGACCTATAGTCCAACGCCCTTCGAAGGGGTTATATAGGGGGTTGTATAGGAGAGTATTATAGGGTTACTAAGGGAGTTATTAGGAGTTTAGACTACAACTCATGTATCGGCAAGTATGTTGAAGCATGTGTGTTTCTGAATCGGCAAAAACACGAAAACACATGCACATGCTTTATGTTCTTATTTTGGCTGAGCTTGCGGTTTGCTCTTTACTACCAAGGGGTCTAGGGTCTAGGTGTGAAGGGCTTAGAAACTAGCCATTGATTAAAGGTGTCGCCTAGGGCCTCAGCTGTAGGGTTGGGCCTCAGGGTCCAGAAGAAGGAACCTTATTTTGTCATTAGACCCGTGGGAATGCAACGCCTGGAGCTTGCCATGTCTAATCGTCCTTCTGCGGACGTTGATATTTATCTACTGTTATCTACCCAAGGATGACCCCGTGGCCCAGGGTCGAGACTCAAGAGTCACAAGTCACAGGTCTAGTGCGCTTTAGGGTGTTGCATTTGATTCGACTTTCAGGTTAGAGTTTTTCTGCACTCGAGCATGCGCATATGACACAAACGATTGGGTCAGAACAGTAACTGGGTACAAGATCAACAGGAAACTCACACAGCAACACCTCACTCACCAGGACGGCACAAACAGTCAGAGGACGTGCGCACAACACAACGCATCAAAGGACCTCGCACATGTTTTGTGGGGGCCAAGTGTGCAGTCATGGCGACCGCGTTAGGTTTCGTGCTTGCTGCTTCCCACGAAACATCAAGTGGATGTCTAAGGGCACATAAACGAACTATCAGGAACCTGCTACGGCTCCTCCAAAATGCGTCTACTGCTCCAAAAAAACTGGTGTGCATCCCGTGCCATTCATATCAAGAAAAGCAATGGATCCAGAAGT